TGTAAAGATACGGAGGATCTATATAATAATCAAGACTTTTGGAACTATGAGCTCTTTAGCCTAGCCTTTGAAGCCCTCCATAATGTATGTCTTTAATATTTTTTAGATTTTCCTTATTATGCACCCATTTTCACATCCCTTACACTTCTTCCTCATTGTATTCACACTTTTCTTTATATTCTCCAATCTTCATTTCTGCTCAAATTATTCTGTCTGAAATCATCCTCCATTTCAAATTATTATTCATCCTTCTTCATAGTACTTCAAAGTGTTCTCCCTTCTGCACAGTTCTCACATTTGTTTGAACTTCTATAAGGTCAGTGATTATGTCTTTTATTCCTGTATTATTATAAATAGTGGGAGTCAAACAATTCTAGAATGAATTATGAGCTTCTAGCAGGCAGGAGTCTTATTCAACTTGTATTCCCCAAGCAGCCTAGCTTTTTGGGAGATAGGATGCTGAGATGTAAAGAATATAGAATCAAATGTAGGTTAGAAACTGGATTGCACCTCTTTATACCCTCATGACCTTGGGCAATTACTTAACTTTCCTGAACCACAAATTTTATGAATAAATGACACTTCACAGGTAGGCTCAAAAAATGAACATTAGTAGTTCTTTATATGCAGAAGTATTCCTTGAATCTTGATAGGATTTTAATTGGATCACCTTCAAGTATGCTAATTGCCAAGGAATATGCTGATGTATAATAAGATACTTGCCCTCAAAAAGCATATAGTCTTGATTTCAGGGCATGCACACATGAAGCAAAGTAAACTGTACAAGACATGTTATAATTAGGAATCAAATAAAGTATGTGATACAGGAATTCAGAAGAGAAGAAGAGATTAGTAGTAAATACAAGTGATGGACCTGGAAGGTGGCCTGAAAACTCTGCTGTATTTGGAGGGAGGTAAAGGAAAGGAGAATGAGAACAACATGAACAGAGATTGCAGTGACCATAGTGTGATATTTTTGACACTAGGAATTGTAAGCCACGCTCTAGAGCAAAAGCCTCATATTGGAGAATAGTTGTAAAATAGTTCTACCTATGAAGAACTTTGAAACTTCAAGTAGACTTTCCATTTCTGACCTCAAATTCATTGAACACACACATATATATAGACTATTGACCCAGTTTATTGTTTAAGCCTCATTTCCTGATACCCACACCTTCCTCTCACACACCCTTCACTGTAGTTACACCAACCTTTTTATCATTTCTTTAACATGGTCATTTTTTTCTGGCCATCTTGCCTTTAATGTCTCAGCATTTAGCATAATTGATTTTGCCCTTCTGATTGAAACAGTTTTTGCTGTTGGCTTCCTTATTTTGGCTTTCTTGATTTTTGTCTTCTCTCATTGATTGTTTATCAATCTCTCTTTTTTTTTTCTGAGTAGTTGTCTCACTCTGTTGCCCATGGCATGCTCATGGCCACTGCAGCCTCGACCTACTGGGCTCAGACCATCTTTCACCCTTCCGCCCCAACCTTCCAAGTAGCTGGAACTATAAGGCACAGGCCACCATGCCCAGCTAATTTTTTGATTTATTACAGAGACAAGGTCTTGCCAAGTTGCCCAGGCTGGTCTCAAACCCCTGACTCTGGCAGTTCTCTTGCCTCCGCCTCCCACAGTGCTGGGATTACAGGCATAGACCTCTTCTCCCAACTTTTATCAATCGCCTTTAAACTGACTCTTTCTCCTCTGCTTGATTTCAAATGATTGGAATGTCCCAGGGTTCCATATTGGTCTCTCTCCTTTTCTCTTGATCACTTTTCTAGGTGATTTCTTTTGACCACAAGGTTTAAAAACTGACTATATGCTATTTTCTACTGCTTCAAGCTCTCTTGATCTTTGACTCTTATATTCAACTGTACATGACATTTCCTTTTGATGTCTAATAGGCATTGCTAACTTAACATATCTAAAACTTCTTTCAATTTCCCTACTCATCCTGTTCCTATTCTGCCTTTTATTGTTAAATGTAATTCTATCCTCCTGTTTGCTCAGGTTGGAAACCTTGGGGTTATGTTTTTCTATCACACTCCATCGGTAGGTTATCTGGCTTCTGTCTCTCAAATATATTCTGAACTTGACAACACCTCATCATCTCTATCACCGTAGTCCAAGCTACCATCACCTCTTGCCTGGATTAGCCTCCTGTGTGCTCTCCCTTCCTCTAATCTTTGCTCACTGTAGCCAGAGCAGCCTGGATAATGTTGTATAAATGTAAATGTAAGTCAGATCTTACCAGTTCCCTTTATAAAGCTCTCCAGTAGCTTTCCTTTGCAGTTACTACAAGGGCCTACATGAACAGACCCCTGTTAGCTCTTATCACTTTGTTATCACACTAGCCTCAACTTTTATGTCACTTCCTTAGAGATACCTTTCCCAACTATTCTGTCAAAAGTAATTCTCCTTACCCCTCCTGTTACTTTTTATTTTATATTCCTGTTTTATCTTCTTCACAGTACTTAACATTCTCAAAATTATGTATTCGTTTACTTGACCATTGTTTATCTCCTTCACTAGAATTTAAATTTCATGAAATTGGGGACCATGTTTTTTTTGTTCACCACTAGTATCCCTAGCAACCAGACCAGTATTATGAACATAGATAGGTGCTCAATATGTTAATGAACATGCTATGTTCTTCCACTTATTTCCTTGTCTAAAAAATGCCATTTATTTCCTTCTCTCAAACAAAACAAGACAAAAATTTTATGACTTCTTTCATGTTTCTTATTTTTTTTTTGAGTTGGAGTCTCACTCAGTCACCCAGACTGGAGTGCAGTGGCCGCTCCCGGCCACCGCAGCCTCAACCTGCTGGGCTCCAGCGATCCTTCCGCCTCAACCTTCCGAGTAGCCGGAATTACAGCCATGCGCTACTACGCCCGGCTGATTTTTTTTTTTTATTTATTGTAGAGATGAGGTCTCGCTGCCCAGGCGGGTCTCGAACCCTCACCTAGGCCTCCCAAAGGTGCGGGATTACAGGCTGAGCCGCGGAGCCCGGCTCTTTCTTTCATATTTCAACTTACATATTTTTTCACATTTAAAAATTTTCCCCCTTATATATAGAGAGTTTTCCTCTTTTCCCCTCTCATTAAGTTAAGCACTGCCTTCTCAGTTTCTGTTGTGCTTTTTTTCAATTTCTCATTTGTTTTTATTATATTACATTGTAGTTGTTTATGTATCTGTCTACTCCTGCTCAAGTGTAAGCTTTTCATGGACAGGGATTGTATATCATTTGCATTGGTGCCTTTAGCACCTGGAATAATGCAAGACACTGAGTTAATATTTATCAATAAATGAATTAAAGTCAAAATCTTAACTCCATCGTAGTTTTCCAGAAGGCAGCATTGCTATGTGAGATACCAAGATGAAGATTCTTGCCTTGCTGGAAATTCACAGCTTATTCATTATTTAATAAATAATTATCTGCAGTGCGCCCAACATTATGCATGCTTCAAGAAACTCTATTAGGCTGGGCGCAGTGACTCAAGCCTATAATTCCAGCTCTTTGGGAGGCCGAGGTGAGAGGATTGTCTGAGACCAGGGGCTCGAGACCAGCCTGAGCAACTTGGCGAGACCTTATCTCTACAATAAGTCAAAAAATCAAAAAATTAGCCGGGCATGGTGGTGTGTGCCTATAGTTCCAGCTACTTGGAAGGCTGAAGCATAAGGCTTGTCTGAGCCCAGCAGTTCAAGGCTGTAGTAGCCAGGAGTGTGCCACTGCACCCCAGCCTAGGCACCAGAGTAAGACTCCAACTCAAAAACATTTTTTAAAAAACTCTATTTTAAAAAATTTTTTATTTTTTGAGTCAGATTCTCATTTTATTGCCCAGGGCGAGGTCTCGCCAAGTTGCCCAGGCTGGTCTCCAACCCCTGGCCTCAAGCAGTCCTCTCACCTCTACCTCCCAAAGTGCTGGAATTATAGGTGTGAGCCACCACACCTGCTGTTGAGTTTAATTTTCTTTGATTTTGATCAGTAATATTTCATGATATATATTGGTGCTTAAGCACTTTTAGTCTGTAATTAACCTGTGAATTCTATGGAAGACCACAGAACAGACAGATTAGCTGCCTAATTCTAGTTTATGTCATGTGTATATTTATCATATAGTTGCAACAGATTGGCAAGGGAGTAATGAAGACTTGAACTGTGTAGCACACCCAGAATATTTTTCTGGTGCCATAGGCATGACAGAATTACACTTGAGACAGGCAGTACCAATTATTTAGGTTCAATAGTGATAGATTTTAATTTTCAATACTGTTGAAACAGTGTTTCATAATATTGCCATAATAGAATCATAACTTATGAATAGATTATAACTTCTATTAATTTGTGTGACTAATTTCATGTACTCATTATGGTTCTGCTATATTTCTAACATTTTGGAGCTTAGTTATAGGGTTAAAAAAATGTTCTGAATTCTCTAATTTCTGAATTCTATATATTTCTGTGTCCTAAGTGAAAACACAATTATTTTGAATAATTTTGGTATAGCCATTAAAGTTCAGTAGATTTCAATATCTTCTGAATTTTGACTAAAGTATATTGTACAGCATTCTTGAGGATAAATAATAGTTTCATACTTCTGTTATTCTAGAATGGCTATTTCACTTGGAATTGAACTAGAGTCTTTGAGTATACCTTTTAATAGCATATTTGGAACTTGATATAATTGACAGTTTGTTCTCTTGCAGGAAATACATATGCAGATAATAACGTATGACTTATAGAACATTCTTATGTATGCAGAGTATTTAGACTTGAACTTTTAAAACACCTTGGTAGAGAAGGAGTTAACAGGTTAGCTCCCCATAGTTGTTCTCAGTGTGATCTCTTGCCTCTAGGAGCTGAAAATATGATAACATTGGGCCCGGACATGCCTGTGTAGAGGTTAGGGTACTCCTGGGGTTTTTGCAGCTAGCTGTAAAACAAGCTAGAACTTGTTCATCTCTGAGTTCCTTGTTTTTCTTTCAACCCTTTCAGTGCCCTGCAGGAGTCATTAAATCAAAACTTCATGCTGATCATCACCCACCGAGAAGTCCAGCGGGAGTACAACCTGAACTTCTCAGGAAGCAGTACTATTCAAGAGGTGAGTTATGTCTCACAGCTAAGGAATAAAGGTAGCTCATTAGAGCTAATGTTGACCCTGTTAAAGAGGGCTTATCTGTTCTGGTTGGAAACTCTCTTTATGTTTCATTATTAGCTTCTTAATTTTAATTAACCGGAGCATCAATGATTACTGTAGATATACTAAGTGACTTGACCTAGAAAGATGGGTATTGTAAATGGAAGTGCTTGATAAATCTTAGTCAACTTAAAATGCTGCTTAAAAATAACTCCTTATTATGTAATATATTTTATGGTTTTATAGTAATTTTCAAAATATTAATTTGGAAATTGTTGATGGCATTCATTTTAGAGGATGCTTATTTTTTATTTGAAAGGTCTTGCTCAAATATATTATTTTTACTGTGTATTCTACCAGATTCTAAAAGGAATTTGAGGAGACTTTTCTTAAGTAACTGAATCCTAGCCTTCGGCAGTATTTGTAAGATGCTGCTGGTCATTTAGCTTAGAATATCTGAGGAGTCTATTTATAGTGTCAGTATTTTCTTCAACATGGCCAACCAGGGCCACTGTTTCAAAAAAGAACCTCCTCCCCCGAGAAACAGGTACGCCTTGGGCCCTATCCACTTAAACACTAGTAATTTATCTCCATGTGGGAAAAAAGACATTTAAGGTAATGATGGAACTTGTATTTAGAAACATTGATATGGAGACTATATCATATTACTCCTCATAAGTTATTAAGGCAACCGTTATTTGTCAGTTTTTTAAAAAGGAAATTAATCATGCTTAATCTTGGATTATTTTATAAAATTTTTCTTAGACTCTGCTGCTTAATTACTAATGTTATCTTGAAATAATCTCATTTTTGCCCTAATCATCTTTTCCAGAAGTATATAATTGTTTAAGTAATGGCTAAACTAATAATGCTTTCCCTTTTTCATATTTTGTCAATGAATTTCGGCTTCCGAGTTTGCCATAAACAACTCATTGTTTTAAGTTTATTTTCTTCACTGATTACTTGAATAGTCTGTTGAATAGTAACTAAAGTCTTTAAAATGTTTTCTGATCTGATTCCTAAATTGAATCATAGGTTTGGGTTATTTTTTTTTTCAGGATTTTAAATATATATAAATTGCTATTTTATTTTTCATCTTCATGGTAGGTATTCTTCTAGACTTAAATTTTTAATTCCTTGAAGAATCACTTTTTTTTTCCAGTAAAAATAATGTGTTTCTATGATTTTACTTTAGTTACTATGAGATCTTCATGACAAAATCGAAGCTATATATGCGAATGTAATTAAGCAAGGAAATCTAGTTTTAAAATAACTCAAATGTAATCAACAAAGCAAAGACAATAATAAATTAATTAATTCTCTTGTTTACCTAATTTTTTGAATGAATAATAGTATAATGCATTGTGAATAAATAGAAACTCTCTTTTTTTTCTTTCTGATTGATGTTTACAGCCAAACTTTTGCCATTCCCCCTACATTGCTAGTTTCTATAATTTGGGTGTATTTCAACTTTCTCCCACAAGAGGGCAGAAAGGACTATTGAGCAGATCGCCTAAAAATGCCATTCAGTGTTTTCAAATTAGCTTCTCTTATATTAACAAAAAGGAGCATAATGGCCAAGTTATTGTTTGATTTACAGATAATTGGCATATTGCAGGAAGGAGACTTAATTTCACCCTTTTAAATTAAACAGGGAGATTTAAAAAGACATAAAATATTCATTAATGTTCGGTGATTATAAAGTAGTGGCATATATTTATTTTGCCTTTATTACTGTTTCGATGGGAAAATACTGCAAATATTTCCGAAATCGAGTTGGCCATACTGACAAGTTGAAATGTTTAAGCAGTGTTAATGCAATCTGCTCACACCTGATATCCTATGCAGAATGATTCAAAATGACTACATCAATTATTAAAAGAAATATTTAAAATTCTGCAAATGTGCCATTGTGTGCCACAGTTGGCTGAAACTGTTCTCCATGGCCTGCTATTTAGATTATTAAATATATTTTAAGCTTCAAAGACTTGAAAACTGTAAATCTTTTTCATACCATTTTATAAATATTGTTTGAAAAATGTTCAAGAAATATATTTGCAAAGACAGATGTTCTTGGGTATTTCTTGGCAAGAGTTTGGTTTCTTCTTTTTCATTTTTCCTTTTAATTTAATTAAAATAATATTTTATAATGCTAGTTTGCCAGAAAAAATATGCAGTTGTTACTAATGACAGTTGCTTTTGTGTGAGTAGACAGGTACACATAGGCTCTTTTATTCTGTACAACTTTGAAAAAGGATGTGGGTCATCTCTCTAGGCCTGGTCCTGTTACTTGTCTGCTTCAACATGTGGAATACCTGTGGTTGGGGGGGGAGGTGGCTTCCAGAGAAGGATAGGGTGCTTTTTGTCTACTGCCATATGATCCACAGTGACACTTAAGTATGTGCATTTTTTTCTTGTTGCATAATTGGAAATAAGTTTGATAGCACTGGGATGGAAATATAATTGTGGAATGATTTACAGCTTTATTTTATAAATGCTAGTTTTTTTAAAAGGTGGGAGCTTAATGATGCCATGCATCTTAAATTGTAAATTGATCTCTGTTACTAGTTTCAGGCATCTCTTTTCAGTATTAATAGGTCCAAGAAGGAATCCTGACCATTATAAATAAGGGAAAGGAATATTTTAAAAAACAAAACAGAAATCCCGGGTATATTTTTCATGTATATATATTTTTATGTGTATACATACATATATATATATATATATATATATATATATATACATACATATATATTTTTAAATTTTTGAAAGCCTTACATTTTTAAAAGAAAGCTTTTGCAATATTTTTCCTCCATAGGGAAGTTTCTATGAAATGAAATAAGATTGAAAAAGGCGCTATGATTTCAACTTTTACTTTGACAAAATATTATTTTTAAAATATTGAATTAGAAAATAGATGCAGTTTGAATTTCAAATAAACTCTTCAGTGACCGTATGGTCATGCAAGTTAGTGGTGATAAATGGATAGTTGTACAAGTGTTTGTTCATTCTGGCTCTGTGGTCTGCTGCATCTCAAAGCATGACTTGTGTCCTTTGGGTGCTCTAGATTTTAATTTAAGCCAGTTAGTTATTGAGTGGTTTTGTTTTGATTTTGTTTTTGTTTTTGTTTTAAGCTCTTTACAACTCCTTCTACTTACATTATCTTCCTACTTGAGGAAAAGGCAGTGAGATATAAGAAAGTCAGAATGGAGAGATGCAAGTAGTCATAAGAAAAATATTTTTTCTGTTATGACAAAACAACTTGTAATAATTATCAAATAATGACAGTAACTTTTTTATCTATCTTTTATACTTTTTTTTGGTTCTAAATTAGCTACTTGTCACACTTTAAAATAGTGAATTTTCTTGAAAATGTAAACAGGCCTACTGTCTATTAATGAATTTCTTACACTGAGAATTCATATTTTTAAACAGTTAATTGTACAGATTCTAGTAATTCTAATACTATTAAAGATCTTGTCTCATACTATCAAAGATCTGTTGTTACAAATGCATTTTTGATGAGTCAAATTAAGGGGAGAAAAGGAGATAGATTTGCTTTTAGCAAATCCTAAACCCAGGTGTGGAAAAGGATATAAAGTCACTGAAATCAAGCCAAGTTTACTTGGAAATTGATTCTTTATTATCAGTATTATTATTGCAAAAGCTTCTGTTAGGCAAAATAGCCACTTTTCTTTGTAGATGTCATACAAATTAAAGGAATATACACATGACCCAGAATAACAATGATAAGAAACCTAAGTATTTTTACTGTGGAATCGTGGAATATTATCTATTTCAGCAAGAAGCACAATGAATAGCTATTGGAATTATTTAAATCCTCTTCCAAGTTTCATTTAACCCTAGAATTCCCACTGTTGTTATTAATGTTGATTTAGTTCTTAATGGAAATGAAAGGGGAAAATTGACAACCTATAAAGATATATCTTGCAAAGAGTAGTAAAACATTTCACCACTAGTATCATGTTTACCAACTAGTAATTAAATGGGAAGCCAATAGACTTTGAATTAGTATCAAGAACTGAACTAAATACATAAATCATACCAGTCCTTAAAAGTAATCTTGGCTAAATAATTGTGTAATCCTGAGGCTAACTCTGATTCTGAAAAATTTGAATCTGATGTCAGGTTTTATGTGTTGTGTCTATTTTCAACTTACTATGTTCTCAGCTTGCTTGACTAATGTATATTTGGACTAATCTTTCTTAATGTTGGTGTCCAATAACAGTAATTAAAATTTGTAGTCTTTTGCAGATTGTGCTAATGAGTGATTTTCTAGTAGTGGGTTGACTATAACTTCTTAACTAACATGGCCTTTCTGTAATTTCTTAAGTATTGGATTTTTTTTGGTTTGTTTGTTTGTTTTCCAATATGGGGATGATGGAGGGTGCTGGCACAGAACTGAAGAAAGAGTGGGATAGCTGAGAATGTGCATATGCAAAAGGGTAAATTAAGTTGTGTGCTTATTTAATTAAAAGTGTAAGTGGTTTGTTTTTACTGCAAGATAAATGGCACATATTAGATCAATTAGAATGAACCAATTTTAATTAGCATATATCATAGTTGGATTTTTATAAGTTTGAAATCACAAATTACATCTTAGCAAAAATGAGAGAGATAATTTCTTCAGCCACTGGACAATGAATTCAAGCCTTTCTTCAGCTTTCAGAAAAGAAGGTTATAAGTTTCTCTTAAATATGCATACAGTGTTAGTTTCAAGTTGCATTTTAAAATTGTGATCTGTGGCGATCATACCACTTAAAATGAATAGAACAGTAATGATCATTTTATAATTGTTGAGGTTTTTCGTGATTTTTAATAAATTACCCCCTTAGGAAATAAATTTAAGTAATATTTACAATGCAGATATTTGGAACTGACAAGTCTTTCTTTCCCTTTCGTAAGTACTTAGAATAATCTGTATTGGAAAAATGTTTAGGCTC